AAACATAACGCTCTTTCCCTCCTCACCCCCTCCTGTATCCATGGAGCTGTGGAGCTGAGCGCTCCCAAGGTCATCATTCCTCGATAAACAACACTTCTATCGGACTTTGCCGGGAGACTGAGCCTCCTGATTTCATGGTCCCTTGATGTCACCACCTTCACTCATGTCTTTGTTTTGCCCCTATTTAACCCAGAAAATTATTTTATTAGTTTATTAGCAATATTAGAAATTGTGGAGTGCACTATCCATCCATCCATTTTCTTTCACCCTTGTCCCTTAGTGGGGTCGGGAGGTTTGCTGGTGCCTAGCTCCAGCTAACGTTCCAGGCGAGAGGCAGGGTACACCCTTGACAGGTCGCCAGTCTGTCGCAGGGCAACACAGAGACACACAGGACACACAACCATCCACACACACACACTCACACCTAGGGGCAATTTGGAAAGGCCAATTAACCTGACAGTCATGTTTTTGGACTGTGGGAGGAAACCGGAGAACCCGGAGGAAACCCACACATGTACACTATTTAGATCAATATTATACAGTCCAGAAATGGAATCAGAATCAACTTAGTTTATATTACTTTTAACCTAGAAAAGGATTTAGAATTGTGAAGTACTCACTTTAACCCAGAAAAGGAATTAATTAGACACTCTTTAGCTTAGCTTATCAGAAACTGTCGACTACTCACTATTTAGATGCAGAGACCAGAAGCCCAGAGGAAACTTCTGGATCAACATCGTTAGACTATTTGTCAGACTCCTGTTCTCTCAACCCAGAAATGAAATTAGACCAGAGGAAACTTAGCAACCCTGAACAGGAGCTCCTACTTTACATACTTTAGATCAATATTAGATTCCTTCTTTCTTTCTTTCTTTCTTTCTTTCTTTCTTTCTTTCTTTCTTTCTTTCTTTCTTTTTATTTCTTTCTTTCATTTGTTATTTTGTTTGTATTTCCTTTAAATTCACATAAAGCGCTTTGTTCATGTAAAGCCTTGTTGCTGAAAATGTGCTATATAAATAAAATTACCTTAGCTTGGTGGGTGTGTAAGAAAAGTCTGATGACCTGCCAGGTCATCAGACTGCTGCTCACAGTCTGCTGTTAAATCCATCCTTAGCTTTGAATTACTAAAATTATTTCTATTTGCTAGATGCCAGAATGACATCTACCTTTCTGGTCAGAAGAACCACATTGGTTAATTTTCATACTTAAAAGTTTGTAATTGTAGAATAACCCAAAAAGGCTGTTTAGATGCATTAATGGGTTAAAGAAAATGGTTCATTGTTTGATTGATCATTAAGAGCTTTTCTTATGTCTTTTTATACAGATCTCCCACAATGCTGTGTGCGTAAAGAGGACCGGGTTGTCAGTGAGCTCAGCAACCAAAAGGGGAACTCCACTTTAGATCAAGAGGAAAAAGAACAAAAAAGGTTCAAGGAGAAGAAGAAGCGCCTCTGCACCAGTAAAGATGAAGAGCAGCTTGTGCTGAAACAGGAGACTGACATTTTGGTGAATCCCTCTAATGTGCAAACAATCCACAATGAAACAGAACCACAGAGGAACCAACTCATCTCTCATGACTCTCCTGAGAGCCAGGATCAGGAAGGAAGAAATTCTGAAGACCCAAGAAAAAGAAATGACAAGCAGAAACGAAATGAAATATGTCAGAAAACCAAACGTCAGAAAGGTAAAACTGAGAGTTCAAAACAAAAAACACACAAGAAAGTTCACCCAGACCAAACATTATATTCATGTAAAATTTGTGATGAATCCTTTAATCAAGCAAGTTTATTGACAACACACATGAGAACTCACATGGGCAAAAAGCCCTTCACATGTTCAACTTGTGGAAAAAGTTATGGCCACAAGGGTGGATTAATTTATCATATGAAAGTTCACTCAGGTGAGAAACCTTTCTCATGTGTGACCTGTGGAAAAAGTTTCATAACCAAATCTATTTTAGTTGTTCACATGAAGATTCACACAGGTCAGAAGCCTTTCCCATGTGTGACCTGTGGAAAAAGTTTTAAATGTAAACGTTCTTTACTTGATCACATGACGATTCACACAGGTGAAAAGCCTTTCTCGTGTGTGAATTGTGGAAAAGGTTTCATACGCAAATCTCATTTACTGGGTCACATGAGGATTCACACGGATGAGAGGCCTTTTTCATGTTTGAGCTGTGGAAAAAGGTTCATCTTCAAAAGAAGTTTAACTGTTCACACAAGTACTCACACAGCTGAGAGACCTTTCTCTTGTGTGACTTGTGGAAGAAGTTTCAAAGGCAAATCTCAATTACAACAGCATGCAAAGATTCACACATGTGAGAAGCCTTACTCATGTATGAATTGTGGAAAACATTTCACATGCAAATATCTGTTACTTATTCACATGAGAACTCATTCTGGTGAGAAGCCTTTCTCATGTGGGACCTGTGGAAAAGGTTTCTCTCAAAGAAGTCAATTAACTGTTCACATAAGGACTCATACAGGTGAGAAGCCTTTCTCATGTGGGACCTGTGGAAAAGGTTTCTCTCAAAAAGGATATTTAACTCATCACATAAGGACTCATACAGGTGAGAAGCCTTACTCATGTGGGACTTGTGGAAAAAGTTTCTCTCTAAGTAGTATATTAACTATTCACATAAGGACCCATACAGGTGAGAAGCCTTACTCATGTGGGACTTGTGGAAAAAGTTTCTCTCAAAAACATTTAACTGAACACCTGAGGACTCATACAGATGAGAGGCCTTACTCATGCAAGTCTTGTGGAAAGAATTACAAGACCAGAAATGGTTTATCTTATCATATGAGGACACATACAGGTGAAAAGCCTTTCTCATGTGGGACCTGTGGAAAAGGATTCCGTATAAACAGCCAATTAAGGGTTCACTTGAGTGCTCATACAGCAGAGAAGCCTTTCTCATGTGGGATCTGTGGAAAAGGTTGCAGTCAGAAAGGAACTTTAGCTGTTCACATGAGGACTCATACAGGTGAAAAGCCTTTCTCATGCGAGACTTGTGGACTAAGCTTCATTAGGAAATCAGGTTTACGTTCTCACATGAGAGCTCATACAGGTGAGAGGCCTTTCTCATGTGTGACCTGTGGAAAAAGTTTTGCTCAAAAATACAGTTTAACTTGTCACATGATGACTCATACAGGTGAGAAGCCTTTCTCATGTGGGACCTGTGGGAAAAGTTTCTACACAAAAAGCCCTTTAACTTCTCACATGAGAACTCATACAGATGAAAGGCGTTTCTCATGTGGTACTTGCGGAAAACGTTTCCTATATAAATCATCTTTAGATTCTCACATGATGCTTCATACAGGTGTGAAGCCTTTCTTATGTGGAACCTGTGGAAAAGGTTTCCGTCTAAAATCCAGGTTAACTGATCACATGACAACTCATACAGGTGAGAAGCGTTTCTCATGTGGGACCTGTGGAAAAGGTTTCCATTCAAAGGACAGTTTAAATTTTCACATGAAAATTCATACAGATGAAAAGCCTTTCTTATGTGGAACCTGTGGAAAAGGTTTCCGTCTAAAATCCAGGTTAACTGATCACATGACAACTCATACAGATGAAAAGCCTTTCTCATGTAAGTCCTGTGGAAAGAATTACAAGACCAGAAAAGATTTATCTTATCACATGAGGACACACAGGTGAAAAGCCTTTCTCATGCGGTACTTGCGGAAAAGGTTTCCATTATAAATCAGCTTTAGATTATCACAAGATGGCTCATACAGGTGTGAAGCCTTTCTCATGTGAAACATGTGGAAAAAGTTTCCGTCAACAGTGCATGTTAAATGTTCATATGAAAACCCATACAAGTATGACAGGATTCTCAGAAACTAGCCGTTTGAAAGCAGAGTAATTACGGCTGGATGACATTCTTACAATGCAGCGGTTTAGAGAAAATAGCATTTCAAATAGGTTTAGCCATAATACTGCATTTACTTTGGTCTGTTATTTGTGTCTTTCCATTTGAAAGGGTCTTTACGTGAGATAAGTGTTTTAAGAACTTATGGATGCATTTTTAAAATGTTTTTTTCCCAAGTGAAGTTAATTGTATTAATTTCATCTTAAAGGAACAGTGGATTTGATTGCTTTCAGATTTAGACTTATCAAGGTTTGATGTTTTTGTATGTCTTCTATTTTATAGTTATTTGTTCTACTTAAATACTTTTGCTTAGAAGATGTATGTTTGGTGTTACAAATTAAATGCCCATTGAGAATTTTTTTTTAAATTCTAAAATTCAATATATTTTGTTTATTTTCTCTTGAGTTTCTGTTTCAGGTGGGAAATACAGTTGATTTTATGATGGCAACAATGCAGCTATTGCTATGTTTTTCTAAGTTATGATGAAACCTGAGATGTTTTCCTCTTTTGTTAAAACATCTGCATTGACTTTATTCTTGTTGAATTTACTCTAAGCTGAAAAGTTATTTTTTTATCCATTTGTCTTTTTTCATGTGGGTATTTGTTTGAGAAGGTTTTTTATTATTTAGAATATTAGAAAACGTATTGTTGTTATAGCTTAAATTTCACATTAAGATGTTTGTAGCAAAAAGCTGTTTCTATATAATTCTTGGATAATAAAGTTTATTTACCTTAATGATGGTCTTTTTCTTTTTTCAGTTTAGTAGAGGATGGGACCCATGTAAAAGGTCTACCAGTACCTACTTCTTGTCTCTTCCATTTTCTTTATGAATTCATAATTTCTCTCTAACATCTGTTTAAACTAGTTTTACTTCTCTTTTACTCTTGCACTTAAAATTCCTCAGAATATGATTAAATATTCAAATATTTCAAGGGAATCTTTCAGGCGGTTTTCCCTTTTCAGAGAGCCGGCTCTTTGTTTATGATCATCTGCAGCCCCATATATTAACATAGTTGGACAAATAGGAATGTCTTGTATGATAAATCTTTTTTTTAATTGCTCCCTACGTGAAAAGCCTTGTACTTCCTTAATTTTATGTATTTGTTCTGTTGCGAAAGCAAACATCCTTCCTTTTGTACAACATTTTAATCAAACTTTTAACAAGAACAAAGCACTGCAAGTAAATCTACCAAACATACCCATAAATAATAATAATAATTCATCATTAAATATATTTAATATTCAGCCAAATGCTGCTTTTATTCCAGGTGTTGGATATCTTCATGGATTTTTGTAACACACTGCTCCTCACCAGAGTATTGATGAGGGGATGGACTAACCTTACTGTTGCGTTTTTCCCCCTGTATGTTTTCACATAATGGTACGGTCCCATATTCTCACATTTGATTGGTCACAAGGCTGTCATGCTAATCAAAACAAAGTCCATGAGCAATAAGAGCTGAACAGCCAGAGCGGAAAAAATGGGGATCTCTCTTTCTCTTTTACTTTCTCACTCCGTCTCTGTCTCTCTTATGGTGTGCTCCTTGCTTCTTAATGAGCCAAGTACAACTCGCTGTAGCAGAGAGAAAGGGGCGGGGGCATAACCGTATTTATTTAAAGTAATTTGTGAAATAAAACCCACCGTTTTAGGGATTACATGGTTAAGAAACGTGATAATGTTACAAATATCTTTAAAATGTCCTCTTCGGTCATATTTTAGTCCGTTTTCTCGTTAATATGCGAGAGCGATGCGCGCTCCCGCGACAGGGGATGCAATTTTGGGCAGGCATGCGTTTCTGGGCATAACACCGTTCGCGCGGCTTCAAACGTCATATCCTGCTCCAAGCAACAAAAACTTTGATACACGCTTATCAACAAACTGTTAGCTTGTGTTGAAGAAACATTCACAGACCTGAAAGAAATCGACGTCTAGATGGAGGAAGAGATGGAGGGTCAGCGCAGACTGCTGGATTTTACCCGGATACCGAAGATCATCTTACACCGGATAGGTACGAAACACCTTCACGTTTTACTGATATGAAGCGCGAAACTGTAGAAAAGCTGGAGGAAAAGCACGAGACAAACAGGAGGAAACATGTGCGAGACTAGAATGAATGTTTTACAAAATTAAATTAACTGATAGATACGACAGAAGCAGAGCACTGGTTGGTCATCAGGAGGTTCGGGAGGGCAGGTCGATTATAAATATTAGTATAGTTTCAACCAATGGCGTGTAACTGTTGTTTTCCCGAAAGATCCTGGCACGCTTTATACTGAGTGTGTATTGGACGACCTTTAAAATATTTTGGACCTCAGGAACTCAACATCTGCTCCATTTCAGAATTGCTGGCGAGAACAATTTATCTCAAATTGTTGATCTTGTACAAACAGCATTCTTCCCAAGTCATGTTTTGGTTCCATTAGCGCTTTGCACGTACATAGAAGGAAAAGAGTCGAGTCAATTTGACCAGACGGTCCTTATGAAAAAGACATCTCCCTTAAATAGCATTTCGGCTCCAACAGCAGTTCTATCATTAAATGGGCTTCACTGCTCCTTCATTCAATGTATCTGAAATTAGTTCCTGACTAGATATGTTTAAACAATATAATCATGTTTTTGACCAAACAAAATATGTCTTTGATTTATCTTTAATTACATCCTGACCAGTATAAATGACATCAGATTTACCATTAAGATGTTTGGTGGTTTCAGTTCAGTTTTGTCTTGGTGATTCTTTTTGATGAGGAGGTTTTCTAACATATCTTTTATTGATTTTATATATTTTGTACGGTGTCCTTCAGCAGCAAGAATTATGCCTATAAATAAGATATTCTATTATTAATTATCTGAAATATGTTTCAGGCAGTAATTCACAGTAGATATCTTTAATTGAAACCTTCATGAAACAACATGGTAAATCTGATGTCATTTATACTTTTCAGAATTTCATGGAAGATATTTCAAATACATGTTTTGTCTAATCATAGCTTTATTATAGATATCTTAAAATATATCTAGTCAAACTAATTTCAAATATCGGCTACATTTTTGGCAGAAGATGTGGCTGTGTGGAGACGTACAGTCTCCACAGATTTATTTTTTTCTTGATCTGTGGCTTTTCTTGTGCTCACTGTCAGAATCTCAATAGATCCGAGTTTCCTTGGAACAACAAAAATTTTATTAAAATGGGGATTATTGTGGACAATTCACATTTTGGATATTTTTCTTGCATGCCTTCCAAACCGGCCAGCCATTTTTTGGTGTCTGGAAAATAAGAAAGCATCAATAAATTGGCCTTGATTTCCTTAATTTTCGGAATTGGTGATCGGCCACTACTTAAATGTGAACAATATTCATAGTTAGATTGTTTTGTTACCATATCAACAGTCTGATGCTGTGAGTTTAATCTTTGAGTTTGAGCTCTTTGTTCACAAATACAAATTAGTAAACTGCAATTATCAATGACTGCTTTTTAGGTTGATCAAACTAGACGACTTCTCCCAGATTTCACTAAATCTAACACAGAAGCTGTTAGAGGTGCTGATGATTTTAGCAGCAAGAGGGGCCTCCAAGTCAAAGTCTGATCAAGGCCTTAAAGTAGTTTGACTAAAAATTAAAAGTTTTTGGTTTGTGTTTTTGTTCAGATCTCCAACGTTGTTGCATTTGTAAAGAGGAAGGGATTCTAAATGAGTTTAGCCACCAGGAGGGGAACTCCACTTTAAAAGAAGAGGAACCAGAACCTCTGCAGATAAAACAGGAGCAAGAAGAACCAGAACATCAACAGTTCAAAGAGGAAGAGAAGCCACTCTGCATCAGTCAGGATGAGGAGCATCTTGTGCTGAAACAGAAGACTGATGACATTTTGGTGATTCCTTCTAATTTGCAAATAATGCACAATGAAACAGAACCACAGAGGAACCAACTCATTTCTCATGACTCTGCTGAGGATGAAAATCAGGATCAGGAAAGAAGCAAATCTGAAGACCCAAGAAACAGAGATGAGAAGCAGAAACGAGATGAAATATGTCAGAAAACCAAACATCAGAAAGGTAAAACTGAGAGTTCAAAACAAAAAACACACAAGAAAGTTCATCCAGACCAAAAATTATATTCTTGTAAAATTTGTGATGAATCCTTTAATCAGGCAAGTTTATTGACAACACACATGAGAACTCACATGGGCAAAAAGCCCTTCACATGTTCAACTTGTGGAAAAAGTTATGGCCACAAGGGTGGATTAATTTATCATATGAAAGTTCACTCAGGTGAGAAACCTTTCTCATGTGGGACCTGTGGAAAAAGTTTCATAACCAAATCTAATTTAGTTGATCACATGAGGATTCACACAGGTGAAAAACCTTTCTTATGTGTGACCTGTGGCAAAGGTTTCTGCAGTCAAATCAATTTAACTCATCACATGAGGACTCATACAGGTGAGATGCCTTTTTCATGTGGGACCTGCGGAAAAAGTTTCAGAAACAGAAGTGGTTTATCTTGGCACATAACGATGCATACTAATGAGAAGCGTTACTCTTGTGAGACATGTGGTAAAAGGTTCAGTCATAAATACACTTTAACTCGTCACATGATAACTCATACAGATGAGAGACCTTTCTCATGTGGGACCTGTGGAAAAAGTTACAAAATCAAAACTGATTTAATTGGCCACATACAGATACATACGAGTGAGAAGCTTTTCTCTTGTGGGACCTGTGGAAAAAGGTTCAGCCATAAAAGGTATTTAACTTCCCACATGAGGACTCATACAAGAGAGAAACCATTTTCTTGTGGGACTTGTGGAAAAAGTTTCCGTCAAAATGGCAATTTAACTGTTCACATGAGGAGTCACGCAGGCAAGAAGCTTTTCTTATGTGGGACTTGTCAAAAAGGTTTCAGTTATAAGAGCAATTTAACTCGTCACATGAGAACTCATACAGAATGAACAGCATAATCAGACCCTCAAGTACCAAAACACAATATCTCACAGTTTGGAATCAGACTAATTACAGCTGAGTAACATTTCTATAATGTAGCAGTTTAGTGAAGAAAAGCATTTAAAACAGGACATTTATCTAAAACACTAAACTTTCACTTTATTTTGTCAGTTTTTTTCATTTAAAAGGGTTTTTGAGATATTAAGCATTACGAAGATAAGCATGCATTTTAAATGTTTTTTTGTCTACTGAGATATTAATAGTCTGTTTATCTCTTGAAGTAACGATGGATTTGGATTCTTTCAGATTTAGACTTGAAAGCTGTCATTGTATGTCTATTCATTGTACTTATTGTTTTATTTTATTAATTTTGGTCAGAGAATGCACAGTAACTGTTACTGTTGGTGTAAGTATATTCAGATTCAAGTTTTTATTCTGGAGTTGAATCTTAATTCATTTTCATTTCTTTCTCAAGTTTCTGATTCAGGGAGAAAAAAATTGTTGATTGTATGATAGAAACAATTCAGATGTTACTGACTTTTGCAAAGTTATGATGAAACCTGAGATGTTTTCCTTTTTTGTTAAAACATCTGCATTGACTTTATTCTTGTTAAGTTGACTGAACTGAAAAGTCATTTATACCCATGTTAGTTTTTTTGTTTTTTTATCTGTAACACAGTATTTGTTCGAGAAGGTTTTTATTTTTCTGTGTTGATGTAGATTCAGATAGAAATGTGACTAGCAAAAACTGTTTCTATATCATTCTTATACAAAAGGTTTTTTTTAACCATAATGATGGTCTTAGTCTTTTTTTGGTTCAGTCGTGGATTTTGACCCATGTAAAAGTTTCTGCTTCTTGAGTCTTTTCTCTCATCATTTCTGCCAAGCATCTGTCTTTTTAACCTGTCTGTCACTAGAGGACCCAAATTTGGGTCCTCTCGTGACAGGGGTGTCAAACTCCAGTCCTCAAGGGCCGCTGTCCTGCAACTTTTAGATGTGCCTCTGCTGCACCACACCTGAAAAGAATAACTAGGTCATTAGCAAGGCTCAGGAGAACCAATCTACACAGGGAGGAGGTAATTAAGCCATTTCATTCCACTGTTTTTTACCTGTGGCACATCTAAACACTGCAGGACAGCGGCCCTTGAGGACTGGAGTTTGACACCCCTGTCATTGTGAATGACAACCTGAGACCAACAGGTTAAGCCAGTATTTTTCTTAACTTTTCACTCACAGTTGCTTATTTCTAGGGAATCATTCATAAATCTAGGTCCTATCTTAAGAACTGACCATTTTTATGGAGGCCCAAATATCAAGCTGCAAAAAGTAATGGAGTCAAAACATGGCAGCGCTACAAACCTGTAACCATAGAGCATGGGCTTCTACTAGAAAGACGAGACCAGGAGAGGACCATCGTCCTACACCTGTCTCTCTTCCAACAACTTGAGGCCTGTGGGCCCAGACTGGACCATGCAATTATATTCAGACTTCCAGAACGAAGACCACGGGCAGCAGAATATTTAGTTAACAGTTGACAGAGATAGGAGGATGTAATGCTCTGTATGCCAGCACAAGAACTTTAAAACAAATTCTGTCAGAACAACAACTGGATCTCCTGCAGGAGGAAGCAGCGACCAGCAGAGATGGCAGAGCTCCATGGAGAGGGTTGAGGCAACAAAAGAAGAAAAATAAAAGCTGTTGTCTCTCAATGAATAAAGTCTCTTTTTTATACTCACTCCACAAATTATTTGTACACACTGTAGTTTGTATGGTTTCCGTGAAAATAACATGTTAGTATATAAATATTTCATTGACACATAACATTGTAGATTACCAATGAAGGTAAGCAAAAGTGAATTCATTATTCAGAAAACCAAACATTTTGACATTATTATCGGGGTTGCTGAAGCCCAAAATACAATTCATGTAAACACCGTTTATCTGACCTGGAGAATCTTCAGTGTGAGAAAGTGTCCAAATCCTGTAACTTTACTTAGTGATAAATACGACTGAGTTTAAACTTTTAGGCCCCCGATCAATTCCTAGTGACCAAAATGTGAAAACATGGAAGGTTTGATTAAATCTACAGCCAGTCAGATTAGAAGGAATAAAGCTTTATTTGTTCTCAGTACAACTTGAACATCAGATGACTCATAATTAAACGTATTGAGAAGTTAAAAACTACAGATTGTTAATGCACTTCAACTCTGTAAGAATGTCAGCCACGGTTTTTTAAAATTATAAATGTTCTATTGGGTTCATGTGATCCCTGAAGGTGAAGGTCTCTGGACATCCTGGAGGTAAACACTGACCAGCAGTCAGAAAGAGGGACACTGATGAGACATCCTACAACTCAGAGGCTGCAGGAAGAACCACGATGGTCTGCAGGGGCAGATTACCAACATCTGAAAACACACTGGAATATATTATGAATGTGCAGCGCCAACACGCAGTTCTGACACTATTAAATTATTTCCAACACCCTGACTAACATTAGTGCATATTCGGCACTGTATTACAAGTTTTATAGCAGTTTAATACAAAGTCATCCTTAGCTCGTCTGCCCACGCCCTCGGCCAATCAGTGAACAGGAGCGAAGCTTGCGTCATCCAGCAAACCAGGGTCGGTTCCGAAGCAGGACCCAAACAGCGGGGCCAGACCGGAAAAATAGTAGGTGGAAAAGCTCCGAAAGTGAGCCGAGCTGAGCCGAAACGAGCCGGTGGAAAAGGGGCACAGGTTCTGACTCAGTCACGTGGTACGGCTTGCTGACGTGGCTTTAAACGTCACATCCTGCTCCATGAACAAAAGCCTAAATATCTTCCTGGTTTCCTCGACACACACCCCGAAGCTTTGGCACAGAAAGCACATCGCTAGTTTTAGGTAAATATGTGAGTATTTGCTGTAAAATGTCTTTAGTTCAGCCTCAGAGAGAGTTTATCAACGAGCTGTTAACTCCTGCTGAAGAAACATTCACAGAGTTGGAAGAAATCAACGTCAAGATGGAGGAAAAGATGGAGGATCAGCGCAGACTGCTAGATTTTACCCGGACACCGAAGATCATCTTACACAGGATAGGTACGAAACACCTTCACGTTTTACTGATGAAGCGCAAAAAAGGGGAGAAAAGCTGGGCGACAGATTAAATAGGGTTTCCACCTTTCATAAATCAACATAAGGGGCGCTTCCCTCGGCGCGTCGCTCTGCTCTCATGTTGTGGGACGTCCACTGCAGTGATACACATTATTTTGTGGCGGTGGTTTTTGTTTTTAAAATGTGGTACATAGGGCAACCATTCATGCAAAGTTGGCTAGAGTACCCCAAAATTGTACTCCAATCAGAGTAGTATACCTTAAAAACACGTTTACTTAAGCAAGTGTAAAAAGTATTTGGTAAACTACTCAAGTACTGAGTAACTGATAATAACACCTGATTTAATTGTCAAAATGTGTCCTCAGACATCCAAAAGTATAAAAGTTATGTGAATATTCTGGTACTGTAAAGAGTATTACAAAAATATTTATAGAAATAAGGAGTTAGGTTTGGAGGCTGGTTCTGGACCAGATTTACCACGAGGGCCAAGGTAGTCAGTGTTTTTCCATGGCAACATTTGAAAACGAATGGGGGGGGAAACAGAGAAATATTTCATCATTTGATATATTAAGTGAGCCAAAGAGCCTCTTTTGTCTCCAGAGATCCAGATTGCAGATCCCTGGCAGATGGAAAGTGTGATTATAGCAGCTAAAAGTGCAGCACTATAATTTTTAATTTGTTGTTAAAGTAAAATTGTGAAGGTTAAAAGGTAAGGTAATTTTATTCATATAGCACATTTTTAGCTACAAGGCAATTCAAAGTGCTTTACATGAATTAAAAGGAAATGCAAACAAAATAAACCAAAGGAAAGAGCAAAAGAAGAAAGTGAATCTAATATTGATCTAAAGTATGTAAACTAGGAGATCCTGTTCAGGGTTGCTAAGTTTCCTCTGGTCTAATTTCATTTCTGGGTTGGGAGAACAGGAGTCTGGAAAACAATGTTGATCCAGAAGTTTCCTCTGGGCTTCTGGTCTCTGCACCTAAATACTAAATACAGTTTCTGATAAGATAAGCTAAAGAGTGACTAATTAATTCCTTTTCTGGTTAAAACTGAGTACTTCACAGTTTCTAAATGATGTTGATGTAGTATTGCTCTAAATTAAGTCCTTTTCTGGGTTAAAAGTAATATAAAACTTAAGTAGTGTCTGTTCCTGTCGAGGGTTTCTGGATTCTAAGTTTGTAGTTATTCTAATTCTGATTCCATTTCTGGGCTGTATAATATTGATCTAAATAGTGCAGACTCCACAATTTCTGATATTAATAATAACAAAAATAATAATAATCCTTTTCTGGGTTAAATAGGCAGTACTCCACAGTTTCTAACAAAATAAGCTAACAGGGTCTGAAAATAACACAGGAGGGAGGATGTAGACGTAAAGGAGTGTATCTGTAAGTATGAGGAGTGTGTGCAAAATTTGTCCATGACTTCGAACAGCTTGCTCAGTTTGTGCTTGATGAGATGTTATAGTCAAAGCAAGTCCTTGAGTCCAGCCATGTGATTCCATGGATATCAGTTGGGAGAGGAGCTTGTTTACATTTCCTCAAGGAGATTTGGCCTGCCAGAGGCAGACACAGGGCAGCCAGTTGAGATTAGAATAATTTTTCATTAGGGCAGGTATAATATTTTTTTCAAACTTCCCTAAAATCTACCGGCGCATCTCAGAATCCAGTTATCCAGATTAATATGGCCTTTCCCAACGTGGCAACACCGGATCATGGATAAAAAGTGATCCACCACTCAGTATTAACACAAGACATTTATTTAGTATAACTTCTTTGGTACCCTGTTGGCCCCCAAGGCTGCAGGTCTGGTGCATTAACAAGACATTAAATGACCACTGAACACTGAATTCATAAAATATACCAACATTTCAAAATAAAGCATACAGAAAGCCCTAACAAACCTTTTAAATAGGAAATATTGATGTGTTTACTATTAATCTAATGTATGATTTGTTCTTTAAATGACCATTAGTATTATTTTGGCTGATATTATTAATAAGCAAATAATCAAATCAATATAGC